ATTTTTTAGTTTTCGTCGGACACAACATTGTTGTTTGTATGTGGTGCTGAGGATCGAACCCGGGCCGCATGCATGCCAGGCCAGCGCGCTACCACTTGAGCCACATCCCCAGCCCCCCCATCTTTTCCTTTAGCTGCCTATTATTTTATATGTGCATGCACACGCGCACACACACACACACACACACACACGCATGCACACATACATAGTCATCTATACTTTCAAACTTTATCTTCTAGTTCAAATCTCTGGAGCTTGATTATGGCTTCTCCCTCCACATCTTCTGGAAATAACTGCTGTTCTGCAAATGGTAATGTTCTCTCTGTTCAAAGAGAAGCAATTCAAATGCTGGCAACCCCTGGGTTGGGGAGGCTCTGGTATTCTCCATTGCATGGAGCCAACAGGCAGAGGGGCTCCCATCTGCAAGCTGCTTCCTTTTCCCTTGACTGGGCTCTGGGTGTCAGGGAGTGTAACCAATATGCCATGTTCCTCTCTAGGAGGTTGAGCTGTAAGCCCGGGTGACACTGTGCCCAGCTGTTAGCTGCTGTGCCAGGACCACCAGCTCATGTACTCCACTGCCCAGGAGCCTGAGGGTGGATCCACCCCTAGTAACTCCTATTCCAAGGTAAAGCTCCCTTTCATGGTCATGGTGTGGTCCTGAATCCATATGCTTGGTTTAGTTCTTAATTATATCCATTGATGTTGTAAAACCGTCCAAGAAAGAGACCGAAGGGACTCTGGGCACTTGTAGCTGCCAAACAGGCAGGTTTTTATACTATGGCTGCTTGAGAAATGCGTACAAGCCAGATGGTGTGTCACAACATATGCTCCCTACAAGAACAACCCTATGACACTCTGCCTGTGGAAAGCCTGGGGCAAAAATACCACTTGGGAAGCCTGGGAAACAAAGGCATTGTAGAGGAGTTCCCTGGCTCCAGTCCTTCCTAGAGTGGCTCCAGGGGAGGGGGCAGTCCCAGGGGCTGCTCCTGAGGGCCTGTGAGTGCCCTCCTGGAACAAGGGCCTTTCCACCAGCCCTGGTACTCTCCTTACAGTAGTTGGGACTTACCCTGTTCTCACAGGCACACCTGAACACAAGCACACGCTTACTCTTTATACTGACCAGTCATTTCTAAGAAATCCATTGGGGCCAGATAGGATTGACACTTTCAACTTTTTAGTTTTTTAATTTAATTAATTATTTTTTGGAGGTGGGCAGAGGGTACTGGGACCAAATCCAGGGCCTTGCACATACTAGGCAAGTGCTCTACCCCTGAGCTACATCTTTAGCCCCTCTTTTCAGCTTTTAAATAATTTGCTAAGAGTAGCTTTTGGGTGTTTCAAAATTCATCCCAGGTCTTTGATTTTCATGAATGTTTGATAACAGTAATTTGGTTTCTAAACTGAAATGAATAGTGTGTGTGTGTGTGTGTGTGTGTGTAGCTTGCATGTTAATGGAGTGTTGTAGTAACTGACATTCATATATCCTATATTCTACCAGCTTTGGAAGACTCCTAGAATCTATTTGATAATCTAGCAATAAAATCAACCTGTTTAGGAGCCCCCAAGATACCCTTGCCTAACTCATACTTACTATAAAATCAAACACTTTCTGATTATTTACTTCACTAGCACTTTACATTTATTCTTTCATTAAATCACCATCAACGACCCTGTGGTGCAGATCCTATTATTACCCAAGTTTGCCAGATGAGGAAGCTGAGAGAGTCAGGGACGCTAACTGACTTATCCAGTGTTGCAAAGCACAAGCAAACAGGAGTTGAGTTGTCTGTCTTAAGAGTTATGGTCATCAAAAACATTTACTCTAGGGCCTATTTTTTTGTCATGAGAGCAGGACCCATGTGACATTCATCTTTGTATCCCCTGCATCTGGCACATAGTTGTGGCTCAATAAATAATTGAAAGGTACTGGTCAACCAGCATCTGGGCATCGAGGAGATGAATCAGCTTGTTTCTTCTGCCTGCCATCGCATTATGCAAATGGAATTGCTGAGAGGCCTAGAGACCCGCCAAGTTCCACCAAATCCCTCTTTCTAGGATTTGCTGTGGTTGGAAAGCAGGATTCTTTTGCCAGTTTTGGAACCACCTAATCTATACCAGGGCTCTTTAATAGTGTTAGGGTAGGGGTATTTGGTGCCCCCAGAGAACTCCATCAATGGCACAACAAGGAATTTGAGACCATCATGGTCTTCATTTCCCTTTGCTTTCTATTTAGCTACAAGGAGGAGGTCAGGGAAATTAGAGGATTCCATTTCTAAATGTAATGACATATTAAGGGATGGATTTTGCTGATCAAAATACCTCGTATTCTTTATATTCCCCCCCAAAATGAAGATCAGTTGTATCCTATATGTCACTAGTTCTTGTGCGATTTCAATTAAATTGGGCTTTTTTTTTTTTAAAAAGAGAATTTCAATATTTATTTTTCAGTTTTCGGCAGACACAACATCTTTGTATGTGGTGCTGAGGATCGAACCCGGGCCGCACGCATGCCAGGCGAGCGCGTTACCGCTTGAGCCACATCCCCAGCCCTAAATTGGGCTTAATGAAAACATTTCAGAGACTTTCTGGAATAATTGTAAAGTTAGAAGTCTAGATATATCCAATTATTTTCCAGAGAGAGAAATTTTCCGATCATTTGCAATGTATCAGTCAGAAATTGTGTTGTCAGAAATTAAATTTCTGTTGTCAGAAATTAAAATGACTTAAACATACGTTATCAGGAACATCCTACAATAGCATGTTTTGTTAATACTTGTTAATACAAGTATTCTGAGAGGACAATTTTAGGGTAGGTGGAATCATCTTATGCTACCATCTCCCCATGACTCAATGGCTAATGCTTAACCTGACAAACTCAAATTCATGCTTCAAGACCAACTTAAATACCACTTCCTCTAAGGAGCCTTACCTGATTTCACCAGACACCACTGGATAATTCTTCCTCTGTATTTGCAGAATACTTGTACTTACCTATCCTAGCACCGGCCACATTACATTGTGATATGTTTGTATCTCCCAGTGAACTATGAACTCCCTAGATACTCATATTGTCTTAATTTTCTGAATGAAAAAATATCATGTGCTCATCATAGAAAAACAAGAAAGAGGAAGAGAAAGATGAGGAGGAAGGAGAGGAGGAGAATAAAGAATCATAGTACTGATTATACAACCTGAAAGAATGAGAAGTTATATTCCATTTATGTATGATGTGTCAAAATGCATTCTACTATTGTGTATGACTAATTAGAACAACAACAACAAAAAAGAATCAATACTTTTTCTTCCAATTCAGACCTCCAACGTTTCCCAGAAGCAAACTCTTCTCAAATTCATCTATGTCTACAAATGTTCCTTTTTCTTAAAACAAATACAAACAGAGCAATTCTCAATCATGGTAACATTCTGGCAGCAGACACAATGCTAGGAATACATAAGTCCTCAATTAATGTGCATTGACTGAGTTGGGGATTATCATGGACCCGATTATCTTCAGTGCTGTGGTTCAAGAAATCTAGACAGTCCTTTGGCTGAGTCTCTTTCCTCTCCTCTCCAACTCCCCCTGCAACAGACACCAAGGAGGTAAAGCAGTCAGTTTTACTACCTAGAAGCAAGAGCTCAGTAAAAAGACAAGATTAATCCTTATGGCAAAAAATTTTCTCTACTGCTTCATTCACTAATGGTTCCAATAGAGGATGGATTATATCTTTGAAACTGGACTCAGTTTTTACACTAAATAAAAGATTATTTACTGTAAACTCAGGAACAGAAAGACCACAAAGTGAAAAATGCTCCTTGCTCAGTAGTACATACTAATAAGAATATTGTTACTGTGGCTTTTATCATCTATAGTTAAATATGGCAGTACTCTGCCGGTTGATGCTGTCATTTCAGTTTCGCTCTTTTCCCTCCATGTTGGTATCCCCAGCAGAATCATAACTTTTCACAGGGGCATCTAATTTCTTAACCTCACAGCAGAAGAGAAAAACATTTTTCAAATTTTCCTGTGATAGTCCAGGGGAATTGTGGAATGTCTATACTTAGAGGAATTAAACTCAGACCTTCTCTGGTTGGATGTGTGAGCTGCCCAGACAAAGATGAAGGTTAACGTAGTTTAAGGATGAAATATAGACCATCCTGTGCAAAACCACAGTGTTGCAGTTTAATTAAAAGAATTCATTAAAGTGGTGCCCCATCCAGGGTAATTAGTATGCGTAATTTATGCATTGCCTAATACACAAGGGCAGTAGCCTGAATAATAAACTCAAGTTAACCTTAAGTGGAAGAGATTGAATGGTCAGATGTTTATTTAGCTCAGGTTTGCTCACGAGTTAAGGTTAAAGAGGTGAAATTCAGTTACAGTTAATTAATTAATTTCTCAGGTTTTCTTCATGGAAATCCTGTCTGCTCAATTGGATAAAAATCTTGTTCAAGGCAGATGGCACTCTTTTTATTCATCAGCTATTTTCTGACATGTCCTCTAGCAAGTTATTAACAATTTGAAAGAGCAAGTTTGAGGAAGCGGCAAAGAGAGAGACAATCAAATCAAAACCAAGACAAAACTCAAGATACAGGCAGATCTAGAGTGCCCATAAGAACAACAAAACTAGGACGGATTTAAGGTGGATGTCACTGACATTATCAAAATATAGGGACTGATTAGGATAAGAGTGTTAGTTGTTTTTTTTTTTAATATTGGGCCACATGTTTAGGAATTCATTTGTGTATTTGAGCTGCATAAATTTTTATTGACAGAAGTGGGCAGAATCCATGTCTGGCATGTGAATAACATGTCACCAATATGAATTAGGGCTTATTCAAGTTCTGTTTTTTTTTTCTTTCACTAGAAATACTTCATATTGCCCCAATTCTGTGATGTAATTTTTGTAGAATTAAACTTGAAGAGTTCAAAATTATGCAATTAATTGTATTCAGCTTCAATTACAATGACTTATTAATCAAGTCCTTAGCAAGGCACCTGGCACCTCCTGCAGAGGTTGTGATAGGAAGTGGCCTGAAGAACTTATTGGTTCATGTGAGTAAGTTAATTAGGTGAATTGTTATTGATTGATTGCTTTATTGGTGGCTGCATGTAAGTAAGAGTGCTGAGGTTTAGGAGCTAGGAGAAGTTAGAAAAGATCTAAATTGGTTGCTTTTTTTTTTTTAACTGAAAATACTGAAGACTATAATAAAATCAACAAAATCTATCAGCCATCTGATATTTATTTGAGCATCAATTATTTGGAAGGCACTGGGTCATTCCATATTGAATCTAAGCAAAAGACAGAGGTGTCTTAGTTTCATCCTACACCAGCCTCTCAGGAACTATGGTCTAGTTGGCTCAGAGAGAGGCACAAACAAATACAACTAGCCAAACACCACAGTTGTTTGTAGAGTTATAAAAGGGCTAAGTAATGGACTTCATTTATTTGACAGCATTTCTATCTTTGTGGAACTGTCTTTTTTCCATTCCAGGGTGTTCAGCTATGCTGCCAACACCGCTGCCCATCTGCACATAGAGTGGGCCCATGGTCAAGGCTAGGTCAATCAGATCTTCTTTTCTGTAATTTTGCACTTTGAGGGGAGAGAGTTGCACAGTGGGAAAGAAAGTCAGTTGACACTAAACCATCCAGTGACTTCTCCTTGGGCAGGCTGAGGTTCCTGTCTGTCTGAGGTTCCTGTTCTGACATGGTTCCTACCCAAAAAGGGATTTTTTTTTTCAGTTCTTCCAATTTGTGAATTTAATAGTGACTTGGCAGAGTCCTATTTGCTATTTGTCAGCTAAAGTTAGTTTCTGAGGCATGACATCAGACTCCTGATGAAGTCAACAAATGTTCCTGCAGCTCAGAGATGGAAGAGCTTCCTTCTGGTTGGAGTGCTGCTGAGGAATGGTGTAGAGAGATGGCAGGTGCCCTGGATCCCAGGGTCACTTACTGAGCACCCGCTATCTATTCAATACTGCATAGACACTGCGTGCAACTTTGCAAGATACCTCCATTTGACAGATGAGGAAACAGGAGCTCAGGAAAGCTCTGTTCCCAAGGTCACAGTGCCAGCAAATGGCAAAGTTGAGTCTTAAACCCAGGACTTCTACTCCCAAAACCTGAGGTTCTCCAGCTTGTGGCCTTGGGTGAGTCACTGAGCATCTGTGGCTCTGAATTCCTCAGAGGTGAATCTGAATGACAACAGCTGCTCTGTCTCCCCCACAGGGCTGTTGTGAAGATCAAAGGGAAGAGAGAGAAACACTTTGAAGCTTGCCATACTATCCAAACACTTGTAAAGAATCCTATTGTTAGGTGGAGCTCCAGTTTGGAGGGGGCAAAATTTGAGAGGTGACTAGGAAGAGGTTGGTACAGGATAGGACCACAGGATCAGGACTGGGGAAGTCTTGGGACAAAGTCACAAGAGAGGGCGGGACCAGCAGGTGGAGTGGAATCCATCAATCCAGAACACCTAGGAGCTTGGGTTTGAAATGGACGGTTTGAAGACTAATAAAAGGAAATGCTACTTGGCAGATGTGAATGAAGGAAAAGTCTTATCTTCAAGAGGTCCAGGCATTTGCATAGACATCATCTCATCATCTCAGATCTTTACTACCCCCTCCAAGGGATTCTGTGTCATCCCCATTTCACAAAGGAGATTCTGAAGCTCAGCAAATTTAAGAAACCTGCCTCACCTGTCTGAGTAAAAAGTATAGGAACCCCAGCCTTACTGAGTTTTACACACAGTCTTTAACTTCTTCTCATCTCCCCTCCCCACTTCCTGTCTTTCTCTCCTCGGCTACCACTGAGCAAAGAAAATGTGTGAGTCCTGGACTCACTGAATGAATGTGCTGTGTGTTCTCAGATTAATCACCTCATCTCTGAACCCCAGTTTCCTTATTTGTACAATGATCTGGCCAACCTCTAAAATGCTCTCCAAGGATATTTCCTTTGAAATATTGTTTGGGAAAAATTCTTTCATTTGCATAAGTCTCTACCCTCCAAAATCCAACCCCTGATGCTCTTCAGCTGTGTCCTAAACCACAGATGGCACAATTTTATAGAGTTGGTAGCACCACCCCAACGGAAGCTCTTTTTGTAGCCACTGCAGTTATCTGAAAATAACCTATGATATGATACATTGAGTTTTACTGATCAAACCAGTCCCTTAGATTTGGGTAATATGAGCAGGCTTTCTTATAGTTACCTAATGGATCCGATACTCTTCATGTGGAAAGATATTGCCCCTCTAGTTTTTACCATTTGCCCCCTTTGACTGTTGCTGACTTCTTCTTAGACACTAGAACATGTTAAATTCTAGGAGGATAATGGAAAAATTGGAATAAAAATAATTACTCACAATTGGAGGTGACAGCTTCGTTTTTTAATAACAACAATTCCTAAGCATTTACCTGCATGACCAAGTTTGCCAAGTTTAGCAGAATCTCTCCAGGCAGAGATGATCTTTTCTATCACAGAAACACCTTTACTTCAAGACCTCACTTTAAGCAAATTCACAGACTTTAATTTTGAGACAAGTAGCTTACAGACAGTGTTTCATTGTAATTTTTTGTTGTTGGCATAAGATTGTAAACTTAATGAAGTCAGAGACTTTTTTGTTCACTAGAATAGGGTGGGGTCTATAGCCAACAGTAAATGTATTTTAAATGTTCCAACTTCACTCATACACGACTATGAAAATAACTAGAGGTTTGCAAATTTTAGCAAGGGGGAGAGAGAGAGGAGTGGAATAAAGAAAAAAATGCTCTTTTTCCAGTTTAGAAAATAATTATATTCAAGAAGGGGCCACACCCTCACTGGACACACAATGTGGACTCCAGCTCAACCTACTAGGCATCCTGGCTCCCTCTGTAGTTAACTGGATAAACTTGGACACATAGTAGTTTCAGTGAGTTGCAGTTTCTTTATGTAAAATGTGGATTGCAATACACAGGACTGTCTTGAGGAATAATTGAGGTCATCTTTGAGAGTACCTGATAAAATGCCTGGCCCTCTTGCAGTAGGTTCTCATTCTTTTACTCTTCACAGTTGTGCTGTCCTGTAAAGTGGTCACTAGGTATGAGTGGTAATTGAGCAGTTGAAAGGCAACCATTGTAACTGAGGAATGAAATTATAATTGTATTACATTTAATTCATCTGAATTTAAATTTAAAAACTGAAGAAGTACAAAATATCTTTTTCTTATATACAACTATTTTTTTCTTACACACAAAATTGGTAAGACGAAATTTAACTATTCCGCATTGCATAAGGTATTATTATTATGTCACAGAATTATTTCTAGTATTGCACAGAAACATATCTCTGACCAGTCAGAGATGGATGGACTGATTCAGTTCAAATTATTATTATTATTATTTTATTTTTTTACTGTGTACCAATGTAACATTGTAATGCATTTATTTTACTGTTTTCAGCAGACAGCTCAAGTTATAGTGATTCCTATGTAAATCATAACTAGGTTGAAATATTTACTTTAATTATAATGTAATTAGACTATGTTTCTGGTTAAAAAATAAATATGGGCAAATTACACTTTAAAAGGAAGGTATCTACTGTAAGTCTGATGAAGACAGTAAAGAATGAGAGATTGGAATATGTGCACTCCAATTCCACAACATGTGCTCCTACAGAACTAAACAGGAACCTTATTATGTAAAAAACCAAAGATAATAAAATGAGCAATATCAAGAGACACAAAGTAAATGCACATAAACTTTGATAACAAGTTTCCTTTCAATAGCTAAAAAAGAATTGTAGTATTGTGTAACTTGAAATCAGAATTAAATATCCAACATAAATCTCCTAAGTAATTTTGGACAGGATCTGAGCTTGTCACTTTGGTTAGATGTAAGATGGCTTGAATTCTTCCACAAGAAAGAAAAACAGGTTTTAGATGGAGAGAGAGTAAAGAAACTATTTCAGTTTTTAGAAAATTATGAGAAAAAAAAGATACTTTACAAAAATTTCAATGAATAATTTCAATGAAGCCACCTAAACAAGTGATTGTAGAATGGAAGACAGACAATGTCAAAGGTCAACTGGTTCAAAATATGAAAAATTGAGAGTACTTTTGTTTTAGTTTTAGATAAGCCATGTCAGACAAAAGACACTGCCCATTTAGTATTTTGGGTACATATTTTTTGTCTCAACAAGTCTTTAAATTTGCTTAGAAATATTGTCTACTCATGACCCCCAAATAAAATCAAACTCAATATATAGATAGTTGTGAATCTTTTGTGAATGTCAAAGAAGTTTCAAATAGATAAGAAAAAATTAGTTTCTACCAAGACAGGTGATGGGCCAGCTATGATAGTTAAAAATTTGGATTTATTAGATGTTTTGTTTTTATTTTTTGATACCAGGGATTGAACCCAGCTTAAATACTGAGTTACATCCTCAGCCTTTTCTTATTTTTTATTTTGAGACAGGGTCTTGCTAAGTTACTTCAGGGCCTCAATAAGTTGCTGAGACTGGCTTTGAACTTGCAATCATCCTGCCTCAGCCTCCTGAGCTGCTGAAATTACAGGCAAGTACCACCGCACCTGGCTCAGAATTTTTAAAACAAGGAACCCATGTTTCCCTATTGCTAAGGTGTGATGCATCCTGCAAATACTTGTGCAAGTTTCTTATGAAAAGTGTTATGGATATAGTTGCTAAAATAATTCAGCATATAGTGCTAAATAAATCACTAGTTTACAGAGCTGTTGAAAGAAATAGGACAATGAGTTGAATGGTGGTTTGTTTGTTTGTTTGTTTGTTTTTACCAACACACAATTGTTAGAGTTGTGGGAGAGTTTTATAAATATTTATGATTTATAATACTGGTAACTACAGTTTAAGATTTTCTTGAAACAAAAAGGAGGCTTGTCATATGTGATAATTAAAGACAAAAAAGTGGCAGTATATTTTACATTTCATCAATTGTATCATATTGTACAATTGATGAAATGTAAAATAAACTTGAGTTCTATGGAAAACAAAAAGACTGTTTAAATAGAGATTTTTTCATGAAGAAAACTAACAATGTTTTTATGCATTTTAAAAAACATAAATCAGTGTTTTAATTGTAATCAACAGTTTTAGGTAAATTGGTTGCAGAAACAACAAGAAAGTTAAACATTAAGTAATTTAGAATTCTATTTTTCAATTTGTGTAATAGTTTTTGAATTAATGTTAATATTATGGAGTAGATACAAGAGAGTTAATTTACTTAACTTGGACAAATGTAGTTTAAAAATTGATATGGTTTTGCTTCAAATCCAAGAAATTCTTTGCAGCAAAAGGATGAACTAGTTTTATAAATATGAATGCAAAAATTATGGGAAAATAGTTTTGGGAACAAGATTCAGTTACTGGAAAAATTTTAAGTATGTTTGAATCACTTGGGTCTGTGAATCTACTTTTCAATTGTAAAATCTATTAACTCTAAATCTAGATAAAATATTTATGATGAAAGTTTAGCATCTGAATGGAGACCTAACTAAATATAAAATGCTCAGTGTATTTCAAAGATGCTATGAAGAATGTAAAATATCTCAATAATTTTTAAATTTATTCTGTGTTGAAATAAATCATAGTTTGGATATATTGGGTTAAATCAAATTCAAAATTAAGATGATTCTTTCCTTTTATTTTAATATTGCTTCCAAAAATTAAATTGCATAAGTGATTTGAATTATATTAAATTGCATAGTGGGAACCATAGGTACAAATGCTATGTCCCATCAAGAGTAATGTGCTCCCACCCCAAAGGTGCTTGGGTTTCTCCTTTAGAGTGTCTGAGTCCTCAGCCTCAATTTGGCCCAGCTCCCTATTTACCTGTCTTCTTTCTGCTTTTTTTTTTTTTTTTTGTATGAGGGGCACTTAACCACTGGCCACATCCCCAGACCTTTTTATACTTTATTTTGAGACAGAGTCTTGCTAAGTTGCATAGGGCCTCTTTAAGTTGCTGAGGCTGGCTTTGAACTTGTGATCCTCCTACCTCAGCTTCTCGAGCCTGGGCCATCATACTTGGCTACCTATCTGCTTTTTGAAAATGGTTTTTCATAGTTCTCTTATTTATTTTCAAATTATGTTGTTATTTTTATCAAATTAGATTTGCACATATTTATAGAATCAAAAAATTCTTCGTGACTTTGTTATGGTTTGGATCTGGAATGCCCCCCAAAAGCTCATGTGTTGGAAATATGGTCCCCAGTGTAGGAAAGATCAGAGGTGGAGCTTTGAGGTAATGATTGGTTCTTGGAGGCTTGATCCATCAGTGGATTAATCGAACAAATGCATTAGTCCATTGATAGCTGATAGTTGGAGAAAGTAGGTATTCAGGGATGTTCCCTGGGAGGGATTATTTTCTCACCTGCTCCTTCTCCCTCTGCTTCCTGGATGTCATGAACTGAACAGCTTTCCTCTGCCATGCCCTTCTGTCATGAGGTTCTGCCTCATCTCAGGCCCAGAGCAAGGACTCAGCCAACCATGTACGGAGACCTCTGAAACCATGAGCACAAATGAAACTTTTCTCCTCTAAGTTGTTTTTGTCAGGTATTTTGGTCCTGTGACACAAAGCTGACTAATACAGACTTATTTCTAAAAACAGTACCTTCCTATTCCTCCTCCCACTTCACCTCTTTCTCAAAAGTGATGACATCTAATGATTTTTTTCTGTTTCTTTTCTTCTTTACTTCCATATATCTAAATAACATACCTGTATTTTCTACCTTTTAATTTTTTTTTCAATATTTTATATTATCTATGGAAAACAAGAACTTAGTGCTTACTCATCATCTCCCATGTCTATATCACACACCATCATGACCACCACTACCACTATCACCACCCACATTTATAGATGCAGATCCACTGTATGTGCAGGCCCTGCATTTATAAATTCAACCAACTAACAATGGATCAAAAATATTATTGGCAGAAAAATTACATCAGTCCTGAACTCGCCTAGATTTTTTTCCTTGTTGTTATTCCCTAAACAATATAACATAAGAACTATTCACGGGCTGGGGATGTGGCTCAAGCGGTAGCATGCTTGCCTGGCATGCGTGCGGCCCGGGTTCGATCCTCACCACCACATACCAACAAAGATGTTGTGTCCGCCGAAAACTAAAAAAAAAAAAAAATATATATATATATATATATAAAAGAACTATTCACATAGCATTTACATTGTAGGTATCATAAGTATATTAAAGTATAAAGGAGAATATATGTAGGTTATATGCAAATAATATGCCATTTCATATAAGGAATTTGAACATTCATAGATTTTGGTATCTGAAAGGGCCATGAAATATCAATCTCCTGTGGACACTTAGGGATGACTATATACACAAACTCTCTGTTCTAATCTTCCCTATATAATTGTAACATGCTTATGCTTAGATTAATACTGTGTTTGCATTCTTATTATAATCTCAGTGCTGTCCCTAGCAAGCCGTACATTGTATACTATACTTAACTTTCCTTTCTACACAATTATTTTTTGCTTTCCCCAAAGTAATCCTTTTCTTTTTTGCCTACTTTTCTTTTTATTTATTACTAGTTTAGCCCACTTCTACCTCAGTAACCTAAATCTTTATATGTTCAGACATATTAGGGTGTCTTTTCCTGCTTGGATTGATCTATCTGTCATCTTCTGAACTTCTTTCTGTAGATTTGCTTCACACTTTATTTCCAAGATCTCATTACCATAAACTTTTGAGAATTCCTTTGATTTCTTTTTTCTTGGATTCTATTTTCTTGTGCTCTTATTTTTGTGGAACACATTATCTAGTAGCTTCCTGGGAAAGAGTGCATATTACAATTCTTTTGTGCTCCTAGAAGTCTGAAAAGGTCTTTGGTTTACCTCTTTCCTTATTGATAGTTTAGATGGGTAGAAAAATCTAGATGGGGAAATTTATTTACTCAGATTTTGAAGATACATCTGTATTGTTTTCTAACTTCTGAGGTTGTGAAGTTTGGCTCCTGAATCTTCATATGCAGTGTGTTTAATCTTCTCTTTCTTTTTGAAAGCTCATAGAATTTTTAAATTTATCTTCAGAGTTCTGAAATTTCACAATGATATGCCACATTTCCCTTATCCTATACTTTTCTGGAATCTCTAGGATCCAATAAATATAGGGTACCATAATTATATTTCCTTTATTTCATCTCCATTTTTGGGGGGTCTTACTTAATTTTTAGAAATTTCCTCAACTTTATCCTCTGAACTTTGTACTAATTATTTGTATAGTATACATTTAATTTCTGAGAAGTGTCTTATGAACTTTTTTCACCTCCAAAATCCATGTTGAAAGTAATCTCCAATGTAATAGTGTTGGGAGATATGGTCTGATGGAAGATGTATAGGTTAAGGGGGTTTCACCCTCATGAATGAATTACTATCACTATAAAAAGGGCCTTCAGGAGTGAGTTAGCTCTCTCCTCTTCTGCCATGGGAAGAACAGTCTTCTTTCACTGCAGAGCATGCAGCATTTGAGGCACCATTTTGGAAGTGGAGGCTGAGACTAATTTTACTTACTAATTCTACTAGTAATTTTGCAGATTCAGTGAGGATTTCTTTACATATCATCATGTTGTTGTGAATAATGACAGCTTAATTACTTCCTTTAGAATATTTATGCCATTCCTCTATTTCCGGTCTTGTGTTACTGCATTGGTCAGACACAAAGTACAATACTGAATAGAAATGGTGAGAGTGGATGTCCTTGTCTTGTTGCTGATCTTAGGAGAAAAGTGTTAAGTCTTTCACCATAAATTATGATATTAGCTACAGACTTTTAATAAGTACCTTTATTGAACTAAGGGATTTGTCTTCTAAGTATTTTGAATGATTTTATCATGAATAGGTATTGGATTTTATACGATTCTTTTTCTTACTCTCTTGATATTATCATATATGTCTCTATTATTGTGTTAATGTGGTGAATTTCATTGACAGATTCTAGATGGAGTTTTGAGTCTTAAACTAATCATCCATTCTAAGTATAAACTACACTTGGTCATGATATATTATGTTTGTATATCCAAGTTCCAAGGACTTGATTTCTAAAGATTTTGTGAAGAATATTTACATAGAGGTTTATAAGAGACATTTGCTTATACTTTTTATAATGTTTGGCATTTTTGTTATCAGGACTATACTGGTTTCTTAAAACAACTTGAAAAGTCCATTTTTCTGAAGGAATTTGTGCAACATTGATATGATTTCTTCTTTAAAATTTTGATAGCATTTCCTAGTAAAGTCATCTGGGCTTAGAATTTTCTTGGTGGGAAAGTTTTTCATTATGAATTCAATTTACTTAATCAACAGAATATTTTAAAATTTCTATTTCTTCTTTTATCATCTTTGGTAACTGTGCTTCCAAGGACTTTTTTAAAAAATATTTTTTAGTTGTAAATGGACACAATACCTTTATTTATCTTTATATGGTGCTAAGGATAGAAACCAGAGCCTCACACATGCTAGGCAAGTGCTCCACCACTGAGCTATAATCCCAGCCACTCTGACTTTTTCTGCTTCATCTAGATGTCAATTTTTTTGGCATAAAGTTGTGTAAAATAGCCCCTTATTTTCATTTTAATGTCAGTAGGATCTGTATTGATGTCCTTTATATTTAGTATTTACATTAAATATATTTTCCCACCCTTTTACTTTGTCTTTATATTTCAACTTAGTTTTTCTTATAAACAAAATATAGGTAGGTCTCTGTTTTTATTCAACTAATTATTTTGAATTTTTAGAGAACTTACCTTGTTTAAATAAACTGTATGGTTGGGTTAGGTCTACCATATTGGCATTTATTTTTCACTTGTCTTCTCTGTTTTTATTCTTCTTCTCACTTCTTTCCTGGTTTTTAATGGGGTAAATTATGAATATTTTAGTATTCAATTTTATCCTTTCTCTTGCCTTGTGGAATATATTTTTTGTTTGCTTGTTTTGTTTTTTAGTGATTACTCTAGAGATTACAGTATGTATCTTTTACTTATAACACTTTTCCTTTTTTTTAAACACACTTTGCCTTTAGATAGATAAAGGCTTCTTAAAAAATACAGATGGCTTACCAAAGTATATTTCATTTTTGCTATTTCCCCTTGTGTTCTTATGATTTTCACTTCTACATATATCATAAACTCTCATTGCATTGTTATTAAAGGTATTGAATTTACACACAATAATAAAGGTCTTTTACATATTTATTCTTTCCAATGCTCTTCATTTTTTCTTGCAAACTTGGATTTTCATCTGGTATTGTTTCTTTTCAGCCTGAATACACTCATTTGATATTTCTTTTAGTAAAATTTATTGGAGATGAAAGGTTATCTCATCTTTCGTCTAAAATGTCTTTATTTTACTTTTATTTCCAAAAAAATATTTCCACTGATACATAAATTGATTTTTTTCCCCTCTATCACTTTAAAGATGTCTTTTCAATGTCTTCTAGCCACACTGTTTCTACGAAGTCAACTGTAATTTGTAGAGTATGTATGGGAGATCTATATCTGCCTAAAACCAGGATGCCAGACTTCTGGATTTCG